TCTGGGCTCCTTCGTCATTGCATTCCTTAAGAAGGCCGGCTTTCCCTCCCCTTATGAGGAAGAAGGAGGGTTCGATTTCCGCCTTCCGGGCGTAACTAGTATTAGTGTGGACACACACAAGTACGGTTTTGCTCCCAAAGGCAATTCCGTGCTCCTTTACCGCAACAAGACATACCGCAGCTACCAGTACTTCATTTACCCTGATTGGTCCGGTGGTGTGTATGCATCTCCCTCCGTGGCAGGATCTCGCCCAGGTGCTCTGATCGCAGGCTGCTGGACCAGTCTGATGAGCGTTGGTGAGACTGGCTACATCAACAGCTGCCTTGAAATCATGGGCGCGGCGAAGAAGTTCGAAGCATCAATCAAAGAACATCCAGTTCTGTCCAAGAATCTCGGTATTGTCGGGAAGCCCATGGTCAGCGTGGTCGCGTTCGAGAGTCAAAATGGTGCCATTGATATCTACGACGTTGCCGATGGTCTGTCAGCCAAAGGCTGGCACCTAAATGCTCTCCAGTCTCCCCCCGCAATCCACGTGGCATTCACGATTCCGACAGCGTCTGCAGTCGAGAAGTTGACCACTGACTTGGTCGAGACGGTGGAGAAAGAGCTAGAGAAGGCCGAGGAGAGGAAGCGGCAGGGCAAGTCGTATGTGCTCAAGCGTGGCGACACGTCCGCACTGTATGGTGTTGCTGGCAGCATTCCCGATAAGAGCATTGTCAGCCGTCTTGCTGAAGGCTTCCTGGACACCCTGTATAAAGCCTAAAAGATTCATGCTTGATTGGACGGTTGCCATGGGTTTCACAAGTCACTCGAAACGTTGAATTGTTTCCTCACCTGTAAACTTCTCATCTTTGAGATATTGGGCTTTCGATTAAGTAGCTACGGCAGTGGCGTTTAAGGCGTTCAAGCAGGTTACTGTTTATACATTATATAATCATACAAATTGTTCTTCTCATCAGACCTTTGAAAATCAGTAACACAACACCAATACAATACAAAAAGCGGGGAAAGAAAAACAACCAATTTTGACATCCTGGTATAACAAATGCTGGCACAAGATATGTATAATACATGAATAGCTGAAAAGGACGAAACAGGGTTGGGTTGGCCATGTGAGCGAACATGGCCAAGTTTGAGAGGAAGTGTAGATGAGATACAACGTTTCCTTTGGTCGCAAAGGGCGTTCAAGCATCAGCACACTAGGCACCGGAGCTTCCATACAGAACGATTGCATCGAAGCATGTTGAAAACCATCGTCTCAAAGGCATCCACATATGCTTAGGAAATCGATACCATCACACGAAACAGCCGGAAACATCCCAGCGGACTCACATGGCCGAGAAACAAGAGCAACAAAGTTGGTAGTAAGGCACGCATTCTATGCTGACCTATTCTCGCTCCATTCTTCATTCGATGCCTTCTCGACATAGTATCCCGGATCCGGTCTCCGCTCAGCACGAACTTCTTCCTTTGTGAGCCGCCTGTCGACTTCTTGAACCTCAACAAGTTCCTTGACCTTCATGATCTGACCAGCTACCGACGACGATACAGGGTGGAAGACCGTCGCCATCCGCTTTTTGAGTCCGAGGGCCTTGAGGACGTCTGTTGTTCGTCGCGGGAGACCGATGGCGGAGCGGAGAAGGGTGACGCGGAAGTAGCTCATATTGATGGGTATATGAGTTTTCAGTTCGGGTCGTCGTTTTCGGAGTGCTCGGAAAGTGGAATCAATTGGCTTCTGTCTGTTGTCTTTGCTTGTAGTTGCGGCGTTCGGATATGAAGTGTAACAATGGCCTGGCGGAATTTTCTCTCAACGAAAGGCCCAGCAACTCAAGAAACGCAATGAACGGTCTATGCGACGAACGAATGAAGTCGTCAAATTGGCATAAAGTGTCTTACGCTCCACGCCCGCTCAATTAACTCGATTAGCTTGATATCTATTGTCCGCAAAATAGCGGGATTTTCTTTTGCTGATATGGTCGGTCAGCCAGGCGGAGAGTCACGTGTATTATGTTCTGCCAGTGTCCCAAGCGGCGGGCCGGTGGAATTCACGGCGAAGCTTGACCTGTGTAGCTTAGGTGTACTCTCCGTCATTTGCATTCACCAAAGCACGGTGTCTAGCTTATGGGCTGCTGCTGGGAATTGCGTCCAGCAATCAGCAATCTGGGTATGGAAACCGAAACAGGAGCTGTGGATTCCATAATCTAAGATTCGGCTCGAAACGGTCCACTTCCCTTCGGATAGACGCCCTGCGATAGGAACGCTGCGCGCTTTATCCTTCGCTACGTTTGTCTCGGGCTCTGTATTTGGTCTGTCTCCTTTTGTATTGGACTTACCATTCTTCTGAGGTTGCTCAATCTCACATACCAAGGCGACATTCGGTCCGATTAACGCGCTGCTCTATCTTTCCAACGCCCGCCAGGAGCAAAACATCGCCTGGGGGCGCACTCGGACATTGATAATAACTCCTCAATTACGTGTTTGGCAACATGGCGCGAGAAGGAGACTCAGACAGCACGTTGGCCATGCCCCGGCTAGACGAAATATTGCGCCACCCTGAAGACCTGGATAAGATTGCCGGATTGAAAGCCGAATACTCGCGAAAGAAGGGAGCAGTTGACTCACAGCTCCGGGAAGGTCTCCGGCATCAATTGGAGACAGTCCAACGGAGTATCAATGCCTTGACCGAGGGCCAGCGACAGGTCACGAAGACGAGAGACGAACTTCAGACTATAGATAAACTGTGCGCGGAATCACAAACGAGCGTCGAGGACTTTTCACGGATTGATAGATTGGCTAAAGTACAGCGGAACTTCGAAGCAACCCTGATGATGAAGAAGGGTTTGGAGAACTTCAGTACAGATCTTGCTGAGGTCGAGGAGCTTTTGCGAGAGGATGACGAGGATCTTGAGAATCAGCCGAATTTGTTACGGGTGCACATGCAGATCTCGCGGTTGAGAGATTTTCGAGACGAGGCAATGGATCAGATTCGCAAGGCTCAGGATCCGAGCAGCGAAGCGACGTTGGCGGACTACTTCCAAGGCCTGGATTCTGTCATTGATTGGTTTGACGAGCATCTCGGAACCGCTTGTATGAATCTCATCCCGCTAGTGCAGTCAGACAACCGGAGTATGGTTGTTCGGCTGGGTGTGATTGTCATGACTGAGGAGAAGAATGACGCGACGGTGCGCGCTCTTCAGGAGGCACAAAAGGATCATCAGGACTTGGCAGGCCGGTTTAAGTCCATGAACATTGGTCCTAAAACCGTTCGCGGCTACAAAGAGAAACTCTTGCAAGCAATCGAGCTGTATGCGGAGAACCAGTTTCGGGAAACTAAGGAGGCGTTTTTAGGCGATCCTGAGAATCTGGATAAGAGCTTCAAGTGGTACTTCAATGACCTCTTTTCCGTTCAACAAGGCATGCAAGCGCTACTTCCGAAAAAGTGGAAGATTTACAAAACATATACGAATATTTATCACCGGATGATGCATGATTTTCTAATCGAACTCATCAATGACCCTGAGTTACCGGCAGACAACTTGCTTGCGATACTCCATTGGAGCGAAAAGTATTATAAGAAAATGAAAAAGCTCGGCTGGAAGCAATCTGAGCTCCAACCGAACATTCTTGACGACCGTGAGCCCGAGCTCATCCGACAGTGGCAAAATATCATTATCAGAGCTGTGGAGGAATGGATGGATCGTATCACCGAAACAGACAGGAAAGGGTTTGTTGAGCGCATTCCCGATTCCCTTGACACCAACGCAGAAGGATACTTCCGTACAAAAACCCTTCCAGATATGTGGCGTATGCTGCACGAACAGATTGTGGCTTCCGGTGCTTCCTCTCGAACAGATGTTGTTGAGGGCATCATTGATGCTATGTTCCGAGTGCTCAAGAGCCGCCAAACGAACTGGCAGATGCTCATTGACGAGGAATGTGGGAAATACAAGGCGGTGGGCGGCGACCAACTCGAAGGCCTCCAGCTACTGCAGGATTGGCTCATTGCCGTTGCCAACGATCAGATCGCCTGCATTGACGACAATGACGAGTCGGGACAGCTGGGATACTTGAGCAAATTCAAGCGTGATTTCGAGCCATCCGTGAATCCGAAGTATATGGCCTCACGAGCCATACCTGAACTCGACGCTCTGCGGGACGGCTATGTGGACTTGAGTACGTATTGTCTCACTCAGTTCGTCGAACTGGTCTTCGCTGTCGACTTCCGCACCACTATCCCAGACTTCCTCACGCAAAAATGGTATGGCGACTTCGCCATCAAGCGAATCACCTCAACCTTTGAGGACTACATGACAGATTACGCTGCCGTTCTCCATCCTTCCCTAACCGACATCCTGGTTGAAGAACTATCCGACGAACTTCTGATCCGATATCTATCATCGGTCCGCAACAAGGGTGTCAAGTTCAAGCGGCACGTCGACCCGTATACCGACAAGTTCAAGGACGACGTCCTTACAGTCTTTGCTTTCTTCCAGAAATACCCCGACTCATTTGCTTCGATCAAGCAGAAGTGGCGGCTGGTCGATTGGCTTCTCCGTTTGCTTGAAGCAGAGAAAGGTCCAGCTCTGGTTGCAGTTTACGAGGACTTCAAAACGGAATACTGGGATCTACAGTTGTCTTGGGTTGAAGCAGTGCTGAGGACTAGGGATGATTTCGAGAGAAGCATGATCAGCGCCATCAAAACCAAGGCGGCGGAATTGTCAATAGAGAGAGGAACAGAGACGCTCATGAGCCGCGTGCGGTAATGCTGTTGGTTTGCCAGGCTAAGTTGAAGGCATTGAAGGTGTTTGCTCTTTTCCCATTCTATGGTGGCACTATGACTCGTCATCTGCCAATTGGATCTCCGGGGAGATATCCTACCAGCGAGGCGTTTTGGTGTCTTTTTCTGTTCGAGGGTCATGGATTCTCAATTGTCAGTACGACAGGAGATCCTCTAATGAGCATGCCATGATTATAGTATATATAGAGACCATTCGAATGCTCTAGATTTTAACGCCGCCCTCAACACTGCCGTCGCTGCTGCCAGCGTCATTAGATTCTTGTTTATCCTGGTGGCAAGCTTTGCCCTCGGGGACAACTTTTGGGTCCCCTGAAGATGTGAAATCCAGGCTTCTCTCTGCCACAACTCGGTATTTCTCTCCCAAACGTGCATTCATCCCACTATCGTCAGGATCAAGCTTCTTCGCGCCCATCTCACATATACATATTGTCTCGAGTGGGATGTCCTTCGCCCAGACGAAAGGGAATGCATCTACCCTCTTCAGAGATGACATTTTCTGTTTCTTTTCCGGGGGCGAATTGTGAAACTCGCTGCCACTGCCGTCTGTACTGCTGGCGGAATTTGACCCACTTTCGGTACCAGTCTCGTTGTTAGCGATTTGTTGCCTTTCTATTTCCTTGGGGTGAGAGGTCACTGTAATGGATGTAGACCGTGGCGTTGCCCTTTGACTATCAAGGTAATAGTCTCGGTAGTGAGCAAGAATATCTCGTGCATCGAAGGTGTATTGACTGTTTCGGCGGTTACCGCTGTTTTGAGGGCCTCCTCCTCGCCGTCGACCACGGACATAGATCGTGTTCACCACCGTAGCATGAAGGAGAAGCGGTCGAACTTTGAGCTTAGACTTCGTTTGCGTGGCGGTGGCGACCGTGGTCGTGATGGGTTCGCGAGTTTGCGAATGTGCTTGTGCGGACTCTTCCGCCAAATCGACGGGCATTTCTTGAAGAAGGGCTGTATGATTCTTGATTTGGGTATCTGTATGGGATTGAGGCTCAGCTCGGTGCACTGTACTCGTTGCGTCTCCGGTGTCCATTTCCATGTCTTTGGCTGACTTCTGGGGCTCAGTCTCGTCTGAGCCTGGCTTGTTCTTGATATGTTCGCCTTGCAAAAACCCTGCTTCTAAGAACTTGTTCCGTAGCAGAACGCAAAAGGGATAGAGGCGAGACGTGGAATCCACAGGAGCGGCATGAAGGACAGTAGCCGCGCGCCCCCTCGGAAGCGCATGTAAGGATTCGAGAGAAATCGTCAATGGTGCGTAGGTGCTCCGTGGGACGATGGCGGAAGCAGAGTCACCTTCGTGCTCCAGTCTTGATGGATGAGATTCCTCATGCTTTCCCACTGCGCCTGTAAAGTCAGACTGATGTCGAGGCGACAAACTCCTTTTCCGGGACCGTCTTGATCTCTTGGCAATCTCCTCTGCCTCATGCATTATGGACGCCAAATCAAGTGAGTGGAAGAACTCGATTGCTTCTTCCAGCCGTTCTTTCGTAGGAAGACTCATCACCCCCAGCGTTAGATGGAGAGTGCCGACGGGACGCACCGCGCCATCGGGGATGAGCGGCCGTTCAGCGGAAACTTGCTGTTGTATGGAGCCATTCTCATCTGAATGCGAAACCGAGGGAATGGCAGCTTTGAATGTTGATAAAGAAGATTCCAGCTGAGGTAGCGAGATGTCGTTCACCAACGGAAGGCACAAAAAGTGTGTCAGCGGAGGCCTCTTTTCCCTCTTAGGGAAAGTCCGTGGTGCTCCATTTCTCTTCTTCTCGGACATGTTCAAATGATAAAGACGGAAATAAAGGCTTGTTGATGGTTGAAGCAGAGGCCTGAAAGGCCTGAGAGTTTTCATATGTGATAAGAGTTATGCCGCTTGAGGATAGTAGTGAAGTGTCATATGGGAACTCGCCATAGCAAAAACATGGCCCCCTATATAGAAAAATTATAGTGATAAATGATCAGTTGCTACCACAATGAGTAGGAATAGACATAAATCGAGTCATTAGCTGCTTGAAGAATATGGGGGTATGGAGGAAAGGAAGCTCATGTAGAGCTATCCACAGCTAAGCTGCATCGAGGAAAGACTATGACATATGACGCGCATCTTCGTTTCTCCTCCGCATTTCATCCAACCTTCTCCATCCTCTCCCTGTTCGGCATTCACGCATMCCCTTTATAGTCGATTGAAGGCCAGCTGTATAGCTCAAAAATCACTCAAAATGCTTTCGCGCATTCCTCGATCTGCTGTCTTCTCCGCCGCTCGTCCTTCTCTCCGCGTATGCCGGATCCCAGCAACGGCGCCCGCAGCCATACATCTTCAACCCCGATTGAACAGCGTCAGCCACTCGTCCCAGGCATCCCGTCGAGGGTTCCAATCCACTAGTTGCATCCGCAAGGGCATCTTCCCTGATTCCGCAGACCCTCCCGCCCCGAACCCACAATCGAATAACGTCGCCGGCGCGTCCACTCATGTCACGGAACCCTCGCCATTGACTGACGCGCAGTATCACGAATTCGCGGAGTACTATCTCAATGTGATTCAGAATGAAGTGGAGAAGGCACAAGAGGAGGGATCTGATATCGAGGCAGAGTATAGTGTACGTATTGCGGGCCTGCGTTCTAGATTTTTTTCTTTTCCTTTCCTCTCCGAGGCAACTCATGCCGCCCTCGTGATCTGCAAGACATCTTTGGCTAACTCGCGGTTCGATTATGACCTCTAACTCTAGGCTGGCGTAATGAATATCTCAGTTCCTGGTGTAGGAACCTACGTCCTGAACAAGCAGCCTCCCAACAAGCAGATCTGGCTCAGCTCGCCAATCTCCGGCCCTAAGCGGTACGACTGGGTTGTCGAAGGGGACCGAATGTATGAGAAGCAGGACTCACATCCCTTCGGTGGGCAATGGATCTACCTCCGCGACGGGTCCAATTTAACGGAGCTGTTGAATGCGGAGCTGTCATTGAACATTGCAAAGGACGTCTACACCGAATTTGAGAAATGATTGTCGAGTTGGCCAAGGAGTATGCGGATGATCAGGCGATGTTTAAGGTTACCACATTCCATGACGAAGAGGTTACGGTGTATGATATGGTGATCTTGTTCAACATTTCAGTTTCGTCCATGGAAACGATGTAAAAACCCGCATCAAGTGTATATTCACTTGCTGCGCAGATATACAATCATGAATTGAGAGTTCACCAGAATAATGATCTTCTTTCATCCCAGAGCCAAATTTCTTCACAACCAAAACGCCCATACATGTCATACTTGACGTGACTTAGGTCAACCTTTATCATGACCAGGGTCGGATATAGCAGTGATGTGCCGTTGCCTCAAGGCAATGCGTCCTGACAGTGACGAAGACAATGTAGTCAACAGTTGAGTCGCTCGCAGTGTGCGCACATGCATTGACTTGGATACGCGAAACCAGAAAAGCCACGAAGACCCGACGGCTGCAGTTGTGGCGTGATTCTTATATCCTCCATCAACGGACTAGAATCGTCACTCCGAGGGAGGCCGTTTCGGTTTGATAAGTTGGAGTACGGGCTACCGGTAACTCGTGCGGCGTTTCAGGAATCGGCACGAGAGACCTTGTGTCCTCTTGATGATATCTCCTGTCTCTGGCGGATTTACGCTTGCACAGAAACTGCACCTGGTGCCGGCTGATTATCATCTTTGGGAAGATCAGACTGCAAGTAGAAAACATTGTCAGCGACCCATATTCTGTGATCCTGAGGAAATATTGATTCTGTCGAGGCAGAAATTGGCGAGCGTACCACTTCAAAGATAACCCGAATCATCAAGCTGCAACTAGGGCAAACAGCAATATCTTCGCCGTCGCGCAAATCATCGATTGCGATTTCGAATCTGTCGCCACAGGGGCACGGGTAATGGTATATCTGGAGATTTGGGTCGAAGGTCATGTCTTCGATCTCGATTTCGTCGTAAATCGAAAGAGCTTCGTCGGCCATATTGAGCGCTCGTATCTTCTCGTGTGCGCTGACGAGTCAAATTATGATATCTCTATTGTAATGACAAAGTTGAGAGCAGTCTATATCTTTATCACCGTAAAAATTTTAGTGGGTCGATCATGTGACTGCGGGGAGTTCTGATAAGGGCCAAAGGCACGACTCCGCAACTGACGCGCGAGTCCTACTCACGTCACACGTTGAAAGAACGGCATTGTATTCTTCATGAGCAAGGGTATCTCCAAACAATGTAAAAGGTTTCTAGACACTTAGTCTCTGAATCTCCAACTTCACCGCCTCGATCTCTTTTATGAGCGATCCGTACCGTCGGGCGATCTCTCGCATCGGGCCAGACTCAAAATGCTCTTTGGCGCTACGAGCAGATGGTTCATGAGCCTCAGAGTCCACACCTTCGTAGGCTTTGAGTTCCTCAAGAAGCTTTCCTTGTTTCTCCTCCAGTCGTTCACGAGTCTCCCGGAGATGCTGGCGGTATCGGTCAAGGGCAGTAACAACCTCGGGAGTATAGAGTGTTGCTGCGGTGTCTAGTTTCATTATACTTTCGAAGTCATGAGTTTCAAGGGACCTTGTCATCATGCGGAGTAATTCTTTTGATCAAACGTACCTTAGCTTCGCTTCCACGCCTTGCGCAACCAGAGCAAGATGTTCAGCCTTAGCCTTGGTAGCCCTGGATAGCGCGCCGTGTTTTACGCGCTCAAGCAACACAACCGTATGCTTCAGTATCTCAGCGCGTGTTTCCAGGACCTTTGCCGCTGTTATCGCCATCCGTGCACGAGCAGCTGGTATTCGCGACAACTGTATCTGGCGCAGGTTTTGCAGTCGCTCCCGGAGCTGTGATGCGAGAGGAGCCTGTGGTTTCACTTTGGATTGGTTACGGCTTGTTCGAACACGAGCCCGAGTAGGCAATGTAGATGTATGCGGTATCGCAGGTGCAGACGCCGCGCAATCTGGGCTCTTTCCGGCGTTCGCAACTGCTCGGAGATCTTCAAGGGCGGACGACAAGGCGTTCGAAAAAGGTATGACTAGTGCAAGAATGATGGAATAGAAGGCGTCAATATCCGGAGCCAGGAGGGATAGAGCATGAGAATGTGCGCTCTCGTGGTCGTCCCCATCCTCGAGGTCAAGCCGACTAGGGGATGATTCCAGGTAGAGGGTAATTACGGCGAGAGGGTCGCGATACTGTCCAAACAGACTTTTAGTAAACTAACGCTTATTTTCGACTCAGGTAAGTTTATCCTGACATCATCCGGCAACCCACTGTCAGCGTCAAAAGCCAGCTGCTGTAGCGTCTGTTGCTTGATCTTTTTGCTTGCGCTTCGCACTCGGCATCTTCTCAGTTCCTAGAAGCAGTAAAGCCACGGGTCAAATCTGCATCGTATTTGATTCTTGCACGGCCATTTTCATCCACGCTACCAATGCTCAAGTCAAGTGGCGGCTTGAACGTACTTCCAGTACTGCTTTTCTGGCTGGCTGCTCATCATTGGCCCGTGTCGAGCCGTCAGCATTGAGTAAATTCTTCGTCAAATGCTGATAGAGTTTTCCGAATTGGGAATTATTTTCAAGGATAACCGGGTCGCAGGGTGGTATCATTTTCGAAATCGGCTTGGAGTTGGAAGTTCCCAAGAGGTGTAAACAAAGCCGCAAAATCACCTGCCTATCTCTCCGTGCTCCCGCGTTACCGCCAGGTCGACCCGTGACTGCGGATGTAATCTACGACTAGAGGCACAAACTACAGCTAGGTATAAGTCAACAACCAGAACAAGAAAGGTCGGATTTCGAGGCTTTTGCGCTTTCATTTTCACATTTGTTTCGTAATCATACATGTATCTGCTGCGCCATAATCTTTTCCCAACGAATCCGGGCGGCGTCCTGCGAGCCCCGGGCACTGATACTCACATAGACGAGTACGCTCGTGCCTTGGTTCCAAGTTCCCTCACTCAAAGCTCTAAGGCCGACTTCAGGAATTTTGGAATTCTGCAAGGTGACACATTGTTCCCTCAACCAAGAACCACGGAACCACAAGAACGAGCTCGAGAGTTATGAAGTGGTATCATAGAAACAAGGTAATGGGTAGAAGAAACTGCCATGCTGCTGACCCTCAAATTCAAGCCATCCGCCACGTAAGCTGATCGTAATTTCGCTCCATGGACCTGCGCAGACTCGCCCGATAGGATAGTAAAAGGCAAAGAAAAAGAGGAGGGAAAAAAAAAAAAAAAAGAAAAAAACACAAGGTTCGAACCCGGAAGACGAGAGTAAGATGGTTATGTACAGAGAGTCCAGAACTTGATTTCAAGGCCAGACTGTCTTCCAAGACAAAACGAGTCGCTAAAAGGGCATAATAGAATCTCAAAGTTCATGCGTTGACTCAGGGGAAATGCTGACGAGTGACTAGTCATGGAGTTGCCACAGGAGGGCACCGTGAAGTTCCCGCGAGTTGGAGCAGACAAAGGGCCTACTCTTCCTCGCTTTCTTCAGAATCATCCTCTGAATCATCGCTACTTTCATTCGCTTCCACAGACGGGAGAAGATCGGGAGAACGGCCGCCACCGCCCTGGAAACGAGAGAGGTTGCTCTCGAGCATGTTAATCTGAGCCTCCTGCTCATACTTGCTCATAGGCTTATTCTTCTTTGGCTTTGGAGCAGCCATATTTGCTGCAGTAGAAGCGGTCATATCCTCCTCTTCTATGACATGCGGGGCGTTCTTCTTGACGAACTTCAGTAACATCAATAGAACCTCATTAGGGAGCTCATCGATGTCAAGTTCAATCTCGGTCTCTTGTGTACCCTGAAATGAAACATTAGTACATACCATTTGAGATGAAGCTGGAAGTTAAAACTCACTTTCAAAGCTGGAACGTTGCTTTGGATAATCTTGAGGGCTTCCTGCATCTTCTTGTCCGGAAGACTACTTATCCCGTTCGAGATGATCTGCTTTTCGTGATAAGTGACGTAGCGCTGCTTTTCTGGCTTAGATGACTTGGAGGAAGTCTTCTTGTCCTTCTTGCCCAAGGGGACGGTTCCGCTCTTCTTCGAATCCTTCTTTCCAGACTTAGACTTGCTAGGCTTTTTCGAACCAGGTGGTGTCTTCTTTTTCTTCTGTGTAATCGCTTCCACTTGACGTGACATTTCAGCAATTTGTTTCTGCAGCATGGTTAACTTCTCGTTATCGTAGTCGCTCTCGTCTTCCTCTTCCTCGCTTTCTTCAGAGGAAGAGCTAACGCTCTGGTGTTCTGGGTGGGGTTCATGAGCCTCTAGATAACGTGTCTTCTGAGCCCACTTGTTTTCGAATATCTCCTGGAATCTTTGTCCGGCCATGTAGGTAGGATCTCCAGGAATGTTGAACTTGAAGCAGTTCTTAAATATTTGACGTACGTCAACCTCAAATTCCTTGGCATTCTCGTACTGGCCAGTCTTGAGTTTGGACTGGACAGTGGAAAGATCCATTGGCTTCTTGATAATGCTGTGATAAGTCGGAATGTTCAGTGCAACCGGATCCACAGGGAAGTAGAAGGGGGCAGCCCAGTTATAGTGCTTGGGTTTGTGGAGCTCATCCAAGACTTCCTGACAGAAACGCAGTTCCCACTGGTACTTCTTCTTCTTGGGCTTGGTGGAGTAAGGCAAATCCCGTTTGGGTGGATGAATCGAGCGCTTGGGACGGCCGTCAGTATTGGTAGAGTCACGACGGATCAAAGGCAGGCCTTCTGGTCCAAGAGCAAAAGTCGTGGCCTGAGGGGAAGTGGCGGTCGGGCGAGCTGTAGACGTCCCAATGCTAGTGCGCGGTTCCCGATGGGCCGCTGAAGTTTTGGTGGAAACCTTTTTCGGTTTCTTCTCTTCGACCTCATCAGCCTTAGGTAGGTTCATCATTTGCTTCTCGAATGTGCCTTTGAGCTTCAATCCCTCTTGTGACACCACGTGGTCGGGTCCATTGAAAGTAACTGCATTTTGCACCATCAAATTGAAATCGTCCACGACGGCCTGAGCAGTCTTGTACTCATTATTCTTCAATTTGCGCTCG